CGTGTAATTTAGAAGAGAACCAGTAATTTCATAGTATTAGTGAAGATCTACTGTGCCACGTGCTGCGCTGCAACTGCACCATACTGCGCATTACTGCGCCACACTGTGCCACTGTAACACGAAAATATGTATAAATACAAGTGCTGATAATTAATAAAAATCAAGTTCTTTAGTTCGAGTTTTTAAGTTCTTTTGGTTCAGTTTAAGTTTCCCAGTTTATAATTGAAGTTTCTTATGATTTAATATCGAGTTTGACATGTTAAATTGATTTATTTTTGGAATTTTAAGTACTTTTTGGTTAGGTTTACCTTTAGTATAGTCTTGTTATTAGTTTAGTTTTATTTTCGTCACTTTTATCTTGTCAAGAAACATCATTTATCGTCATCAACACCATTTTAGTCATAATATTCAAAGTAAATTGCCGTAAACACAGTCACTATTGCCATTTTGAAATACTTTCATACGCAAAAGCTCAAAACGGTAACAATATGTTTACATTTTGCAATAAACAAATTTTTTCTTTCGCATGTGACATTACTTGCCAATCCAGATCAAATCAACCCAGATCATATCTGGATTGACTCGATCCGAATTGCACTACCCGGCTTTAGTGTTCCCCTCTTTTCGAAACTGATCTGCAATTTGTGTAATGGATAACGGTCACTCCTGAACAACAACAACATCAATGCTTGTGTTAATAACAACAATGACATCAATAATCCTAAATAAAGTAAATCACGTAATCCTAAAAAACATTATAAATTACTTAATAATTAAACATGATTTACACAGACGATTGTTCAGTTTTAAATGATATTAAATGGTATAATAATATTTGATTTCCAGTAATTCATTGAATGGTATTACCGTCCATCTGGTCTTTGTTATGGGCTGTTCGTGAAGAAATGCGTCATATTAACTACTATACGAATCGATGTCGCACAAGATGTAATCTGCAATATAATTCGATGTATACTTTAATCTCTCTTTATGTGTATTAATCGAGTTGTTAAGTATAACGATAAAGAGTATAAGTAATTTTTACGCTTTTTATGGTATCATTTTTTGCATACACAATATCCTATGGCCATATGGCCATAATCGTGTGGATTACCCACTAGTACAGTCCCATATGGTCAATGCTTGGGGGAGATTGTCATATACGCCCACTATCCCTAGTGCCCTAGTGTGCCGGTCTCTTTCCAGTATATTGAATTTAATAGGTTGACTACGGCCATGTGGCCATAATCGTGTGGATTACCCACTAGTACAGTCCCATATGGTCGATGCTTGGGGGGAGATTGTCATATACGCCCACTATCCTAGTGCCCTAGTGTGCTGATCTTTTTCCAGAGACCTATTTTATCAATGCAACCATATACACTTGTGCTGATTATATTATTAAATATTGTTAATAAATATATTTGATTATTTTTTTCCAGGATAATGGAAATATCAGAAGGAATCTCCCTTTTTTTCGAACAAGTTCCATTTAAGAACTGGTCTCCCTCCAAATGTCTAGAATATTTGGAAAGTAAATCCTTAGATCTGACAAAGAATTAATTCAAAATGAATTCAAAAGTCATCTCCATTCATTAATGAATCACCAAGCAGTGTCGAAAAGTGCACAAAAAAAAGCTAATAAACTTTATAATGAAGTGGATCAGTTGTTTGAATCTGAAGAAGTTATAACAATTTTTAAAAGAATGGATACGAAGGTAAATTGCTTTTATTAGTGATTACTATTTTTTATTTGGTGTATCCATGTAGTATAAACTGTTGATTTTACAGGTGATTGAAGAAAGTAAAAGGCAGTTATTAGCCGTAAAAAAATCACTTCGATACGGAAGTTCAGCTTATTGTCAAAGATTACAAAATATATACTGTATCATCTTCAGTAATTAACTGAATTAATTGATGCATTGCATGGGATATTATCCATAAATCTAATTTTAACACATTTACAGGAATTACACACTATAGGGACAGAAACTCCGGGTGAAGTTTCCAAACGGAAACGTGAAATAGAAGATGATCAAATTGTAACAGTAAGTACACGTGTTCTTGTAAATTTACAATATATTTCATAATATTTATTTCTATAGGATCCAAATGAAAAATCACTACAAGATCTGTTTGGTGCCGAATTTCAATGCTCCGAGAATATGATGTTAGTCTGTCAATACCATAATGAACTTTACGTAAATGATTCTCTGATTGACTTGAGATCCAATTCCAATTTTACAAACAAACTTCCTTCAAGCCTTCTGAAACCATATCTTAAAGAGCTCGATGACAAGATTGAAAATTTGATTCCATCAAACGTCCACAACTTTTTAACGGAGTTTTTCAAACAAAATTTAACGGATAATGATTGGAATATTAAGATTGATGATCTGTAGTGTCCAGACGAAGGTGACTATTTAATGGTTTCAACGGTGTGAATTTTGCGCAAGACTTTGCCAACTTTGTAAGTACAAACATATTTTTACTCTGCAAACAAGAGTTTTTTAGTTACAGCATCTGCTTAATTTTCTATAGTATTATGGCATTTTCTTTGGGACCAAGAAACCCACTTTTGAATTTGGCTACATTAGAAAAACCGCACTTAAATAATTTTGTATACCCATGCCTGCAAGCATGCCTGTGGTACATTTCATTAATATGCTACGAGTTTGGGGAGATAAGCACAAGAAATCACAAGCGAGAATGCACTGATGGTGTCGGATATTTAAACACTGCCGATAAATTTCAATTAGTGTACGTGGAAGGTTCAAAGCCAGACGCTAAAGATGATAAAGAGATTGCGGATGCATCAAAAATATCAAATAATCTTCAAAAAATTTTTTTAAACATCGTCAAGGAAAACGTAAAATGCAGAAGGCGACTACCCAAATCTCTTGCCATCTTTGGTGGCCAAAGTTTTTGACTTCAAATATATTTGAATTTTATAGATTACTGTGAATGTCATTTATAATTGATTTGAGCATATATTCTTTTTTACTCATTCTAAATGATAATTCTAATCTTAGGAGGAAAGTTCTGTCTTAATGAAGTAGATAATGCCAATATTCCACGTGACTTTACAGAGATGGCGGACTTTGTGTTTTTTTATGAATGCATGATAAAGTGGGCCGTAAGTATTCTTGTTATTTTACAATAAGTGACTCGCATTAATAGTACTCATAGTAAATTACGAATTTAGTTGCTAGCTTGGAAAGTCAAGAAAGATTTTGAAGAATCAAGAGCTCAAAAGAGGCTGTCAAGACTCTCTTTCATTAATGGCCTGAATGTAGCAAATGCTCTATAGGAGATGCCTCACCTACTCATAGTAATTGAAATTTATTGAACTGTAATCATAGTGAATAAAAAATGAATTTTATATAAATTACAGTTAAATAATACTTTTATGCAAAACTATTCCCATATATGAATAACCTCTTCTTCGCATAATATGCATAAAAATAAATAAGTGTGTATAATTCATTAATTTTTTCTGTAATATTAAAGTTTTGAGTTTATTCAATGATATCCAATTCTCGAAATGCTCTGGAATAATTATATATGTGAGTTGGCTAGTTTTCATGTGATTTAGATTACATGCATGTCATCCACATATCATCCATCAAACATGTCACATGAAATATGCATTGTTATATGTGATGTAATTTGCTTTTTTTGATAATGATATATGTAAAAAAAGAACAAAAAAAGATATATCTATCAAAAAAGAAAGTATATATATAAAAGACTTTTTTGATAATTCAAGTTTTTTTTTGCTAATTTCTCTTAATTAAAAAATTTTTAACATTTATTATAGATTCTTCAATTATATTCTCTTTCTTTAATTAATGTTATTATTATATCTATTATTATTTTATTCACAAATACTCCTAGTTTAAATCTTTCTTTCGAAGAAAAAAACTTTTTTTTAATGTCAACAGGTTATCTAAATAAATATTAAAACTCAAGTAAGTAAAAAGAAGAAATTTCATTTGAAAAATGCAGAAAAATAATAATTCAACTATCTGATTTCTATTAAAGTATCACACATTAGGAAATTTTTTGGAATGATATTCATTAAGAATCATCATTGTATCTATAAAAATCAATAAATATCTCTCTGAAATATTGATATTAATCAATAATTTTGATGATTTTTGATAAATATTTATATCAATAATCATTATTAATATATTATTTATAATAATATATTGATTATTATCACAATATATTATTTATTGATAATAAATAATATATTAATAATTAACTCAAATACTTGTTTTAAAATTAATTTTCACATTAATATCAGTTTAGATTATATAATCTAAATAAACATGCATATATTCACACATTTAATTATTTTCAAAACTTAAAACTTCTAAAATACTTGTTATTTAATATTAAAAATATATTTATTTAATAAATATTCATTATTTTTTCCATATCTTATTATAATATGTATTGTCATATCAACTGAATCTAAAAAAATCCATGTATATTATTTAGTCAACTATAATTTTAAATATTTATAGAGTTTTATATTTTTATTTTTATTTTCTTTCAATATATTATATTATTATAATAAAGTGAGTTTTAATAGTTCATGATTTTTTATATAAAAAATTCAAATAATAATAGTATCTAAATTAAGATTATTGTTCATTAATAATAGAAATTTTTGTAATATTAATATTATGAATAAATAATATTATAATATTATACTATATCTTTTTGTACTAAAAAAATTTTTTTTCATCAACAAAGACTGTTATATTACTGAATATTACTGAATCATTCTGAGTCATAAAATAAATTAGTTACTTAAATAATATTAGTTAATTCCATATAAGCACTTGAATATATTTTAAAATATGCAAACTCTTGATCATATAACTTATCATTTAAGCTTAATAAAAACTCTTCAAATTCTATTTGAAGATTATTGAAGCCTTTTTGATATAATTGATAAATATTGATATTTTTTGAAACTATTTTTTTATTTTAGTTATCTATAATTCTTATAGAAAATTTTAAAAACCAGAATCTTTTTTAATAAATGATATTAATATTTAGTATTTCTATAAATTAAACTGAACTGAATTTTTGTTTGAATTCAAGTTTGATTCAAAATTTGAACTAAATTCAAATCAGATTTTGGTTTGAGTTCAAAAAAGATTTGAAGTTCAAATTGACTGAATTGTTATATGAGTTTGAGTCTAGTTCAAGTTCGATTAAAGATTAGCATATAGTATCTAAACTAATTTGTAGCTCTAAATATAAGTTACAAGCACAATTTATAATATTTAATAAGAATTAAAAGTTTATATAGTGATAACTAAAATATTTTTATTTTTATGTTTATTAAATTTTAATTATAAATGTTATATAACTCTCTGAATAATTATTATTAATGATAACTATTTTATATTAATTTATAGTTTTTATTTCTGACTATAACTTTACTTATAACTATAATTTATAATTATTATAGCAAAATAAATATTTATTATACTAAAACTAAAATTATAATAATTAAAATTATTTTTTAAATTCATATAAGTTCTTAAATATTCATTCTAAATATTAATTATTTTATATCAATTTGTAACTTATATTATGATCTATAACTTTACTCAAAACATCAACAAATATTTTGATCAGGTTCGAATCTAATTCAAAATTTGAACTAAATTTAAATCTGACTTTTAATTAGATTCAAATTTTTGAATTGAACTTTTGATCAAGTTTGAGTTTGATTCAAGCTCAAGTCTGATTCAAGCTTGAACTGAATCAGACTCAAACTGAACCAGACTTTTTTTCAGAATTCTATTGGTACTTTTTGTGCAGCTAAGATCTTGCATCATATTTATAATAAAATATTAATAATAATAACTATTAGTATGTATTGATAAATATTGATAAATATTAGAATTTATTATTTTTATTATTTGTATTATATAATTCTTTTTGTTAGATATTCAGTATGAATTTTTAATATTTTCCTTATAAAGAGTCTCAAAAATCTCAGTAAATATTTTATTTATTATTTTATAATATTAAATTGTGGAAATAATATAATATCAAAATATATAATTCTCAGGTATTTTATATTGTTACAATTATTTTCAATAATTCCATAATTAATGAATCTTTTAAAAATAATAGAAAATATGAAAATCTTCAAAAAT